GAACTTGTAAGTCCATGGACATTACTGTCTTAATGGATGAGAGAGTTGTTAATGTGATATCAAAGAAGGGCTCCTATGTTAATATGTAACTCGATCTGTAAAGATGTTTTTGATTGAATTAGATCCTTTAGAAACTATTGAGTGTTTTGAAACTCTGTTTTGCATAATAGATTTGGAACATTGCATTTTGAGTTATTTTGCAAAAAATGCCATTGTCATCATTGGTAATTGTGTTTAATAAAATCCAGATTATGATATAATCCTATTGATTGCCAATTATATAGACTATTTAGGAAAAAAACAACAGTATATGCATAATAATTTGGAACAGTTTATAATGGTCATCTAAATGACATAAAACTTGAAAGTAATGCTGTTATATTGCTTCTATTTTGATCACCTCTTGTTACCTCAACACACATGGATCTTGATTAATAGGCCTGGTACTATTTCCCTAGCAAAGAATTTAGAGGTCTTTTGTTTTATAACATTTTTCATCTTGGATGGATTTTTATCCAGGCTGAAACCGGTCTTTGGCTATAAACACTGTTATTGCAACTGTCAAGGTTAAATGGGCTTGTCTCTTACAAAGAATCAGTCTTATTTTTGCTCCAAAAAAATCAAACCCACACAGAATTTGGTCTTGTAAACTCTAACTCTAATGCACCTTTTCAATGGGCTTTAGCCACATTCACATCATATAGGATTAAAGGCAGTGATTGTGTTTTGAGTGTCATTTACACACTGAATTAATAGTGTGGTGGCAATTTGTTTAATTAAAGCATACAAAGTATGATCTTGTCTTTCTGTAAGGTTTTATTCAAGTCATCCATGAATGGTCTCAACGCAACCGTCACACACTCTCGTATGTGAAAGTCCGAAAGAGCGAAGACTGTAAGAAGCAATATGGTTTTACCCCTGTGTGGAGCGTCACTCTAACACAGTTACACATTCCTGAGTTCTGGGACAGTAAACAGACAGATAGTGTGGTGAGATGATCATGTCCTTGGCTTCTTAGTGAAGTCTCAACATTCCGCTGTCTACTTGGACATAGAGTGTAGTTAGAAACAGGGCTAAAGGTTATATGCATATAATAGCCTCTTTGAACAGTTGTGGTATGGTTTACAACTGAGCCAGGTCAATAGGGGTTGTATAGGTTTCTTAAAAATTGCCATTACAATAGTCACCTCTGGTCCTATGGGCCCATATATACACATATAAAAATAGTGTGCATTTACCAAATAAGACTCAACAGAGGAATTTGTTACTTTGATTGACTGGCATGAGCTTTGTTTGCTTCAGGCCCGTTTATATTATTTTGTGAGAAAGAAACGCGTCCTCCATAAAAGTTATCTGTGGTATAGACTGGCACAGGGATGGATGGTAATTCCTCAGAACTTAATGTAAAAGTTGGCCTGGATGTATACACTCCTCTATGATAATGCTCCACATACATCATCTACTACTACCCGAGTTGACAGACTATATTGAAATGGTGACTGTGATAATAGGCTCAGATATATACCATTAGGGCAATCCAATAGTAGCCTGTACAATGTTACACAGAAAGACAGAAAGCACTTTTTTATTGAAGAACTATGACATGACTGCAAAGCAGTATTTCAGGACAGACTTTCTCACACCATGTGGTTTACACCTACCTAATTGCTTCTAAATACAATCAGCATTCAGTGTGTGTTGGCCGATGTTTACTGCTGTGTGTCTATCTGCACATGTAATGTATATACTTTCTTAACTCTTGTGTGCGTCTTTGTATTTGCCCTCCATTTCTTCCAACTCCTTTCCTCAGCTCCCCTTTCCTTTGTCCTCTTCTTGTTTCATCTTTGTCTGCTTTCATGCACTTCCCTCCACTACAATTCCTCCTTTCTTACCCTTCTCTTAACCATCATCCTTTCTCTTTCTATTCCACTTCCCCTCCCTCGTCCTCATCATCAGCACATGCTGTGAACTCCTTCTCAGGTAACAAGCCATATTCATTAAGAAACGCCTCCACATCCGTTGCAAAGAACTCTTCATTGAAGTGTTTGGTAACAGCCAGGAAATTGCCCAGCAACTCCCCCGCTTTGTACACCAGCAGAGTAGGAAGAACCTGAAAGTATAATAAAAGGGATTTCAATTCAATTTTATTTGTGTAGCACCCAATCATAACAGAAGTTATTTCAGGACACCTTTCAAATAGAGCAGGTCTAGACCGTACTCAAATAACATTATTTAATGACCTAACAATTCCCACCATGAGCAAGCACTTGGCAACAGTAGGAAGGAAAAACTTCATATTCCTATTCCTATCAAAATGTACTATACAAATGTACATATTTAGTGGTATTAAACCTGTAGTGTGGGAACTTTTGTCTCCCGGATCAGGCAGTAAGCATAATTACACAAACATTGTTTACTATACTCCTAGTTGCTGTAGACTACTCCGTCACTATGACTGCTCCCCCTTCAGCTCTGCAAACTAGACAAAAGCCAGTTTACAGGGGACAGTGAGTGTCACTGTAATCTTAGCTGGTACACATAAAAACACAGTTATGTAAACCTGGCCTGTGTTAAATTGACATTGACTGTGTTAAACATTTTTTAACCAGCCACCTTTTCTGCCAAACCCCAAATTTTAGGGATTCACAATAATATTGGGGCTGATAATGGGAAATTTATATTCTAATGGATTATCCAGATAATGAATTTATAGCTGATAAATTATCGGTCAGTGATGATGATAATTTATTTAGAATTCTTATGCAAAACAATAGATTTTTTTATTGCTTTATGTTCCATGAAAGCCAAAGTACTTTACTACTAGTCCTTGTTTACCAACAGTGAGTGTCAGTTAGATTTGGTAAGATCAGAGCTATGGAATATTAACTCACCCATCTTTGCTCACTACATTTTAGCCTTTCTTATCCTCAGGTTGTTAATTTTTTAAAATTGTAATTAACGGTTATCTTATTGGCGTCGGTCATGGGAAGCAGATAATCATTGGTTGTCGTATTGGTTGAAAAAAAATCCATATGGTACATGCCTATCAAATCTGCCAACATTTGGAGCTTGGCAGGTGGTAATTTTGGACCCTGGTTCCTTGCTCAGTTTCTCAATTTAGTTTCTCTGATTTTGTAGTTCCTTGAACATTTCGGTCAAAAAGGGCTAATATATGATACAATAATCAGAGCCATGTAATGATAGAAACCCTTGTGCTCTTCGCTTCTGGTTTAGATATCAAGTATTGCTCTTTCTAGTGTCGCATAAACAAAACTTAATGGGAGGGGTTTAACGGTCAGTTAACTTCTTATAGCCTCGCACTTCTGACAGTGTGACTACAAACTGTTACCATCACTACTAGAAATTATACTGCTAATACAACAGCCCAATGTTGCAGTAGGGATTACTGTAATTCTATCAATTATTAGTTTAGTATATTATGAATAATGTAACCTTCATCATTCTCTTTGCTGTTTTTGTTTTTAAAAAGTTTACTAACCTCAGAGGAGAAGCGCTCAGCAGCACCTGTTGCCACAGCATCAATACGACAAAATTTAACACTGGGGTACTCTGAAGCCAGACAGTCCAGACATGAGTTCACCTGTTCACAGCCTGGCAAAGGACAAAATTATGCATGCATGCACTATTAGCAAACAGCATTTTCAACTGTAACAGGCTATACTATTTTGTAACATGAGTCAATGAGCTAAAACTTAAACACACATGTTAAAAAAACTAACCTTTGACACCATGCTGGTAGATGTGGACTACCACTGGCGTCAACCGATGCTCCTTCTCTATGACCTCCAGGAAGTCTTCTCCACTCTCAAGCTCATAGACTGCTTCAAACGTAGGACCGAAGCTCAGGCGCTCATGCATTTCCTGCATACAATTCTTTCTGTAGCGTTTCAGGCAATGTTCATCCTCCTCTTGGATCAGTTCGTACTCCTGAACGCTCATCTAGAATTGAGAAAATATATGTTAATTCTTCACTTTTTTGTTACATTCAAATGTATTCTTTTGGCAGACATTTTTGTCCAAAGCAACCTACAAATAAGGTACAATTCAAGCCACAATAGACTGTTGTGTGGACCATGTGTTTGAACTTATTGTTTTGTTTTTGTTAGCAAATTATCCATGCAACTGTGGTCAATTGAAATACTATCACTGTCTATAAAATCTGTCAATGGTGTGTTGTCAAGTTTTCCTGTGTGTGAGTGTTTCCATCCACCTTTCGGTTGACTCTCTCTTTGTCATCCTCTCGTGGACTTGACATTTGTCTGAGCAGCTCTTTCCTTCTTTGAGGGACAGTCTGAGCCACACTGTCCAACTTAAACCTTCGCCAGTCATTAATTACACCTTTTGGACCTGCAGACAAAGAAATGTCCACAAAGACACGTCGGTTTTCAGTCCAAAGGGTACATCTGTGGTGATGATTTACAAAAGATATACTACTGCATACTACTACTACTGCAATTTTTGTAATTAATGTCTACTAGACTGTTTGACTTCTGCCTCTGACCTGTGTGATTGGCAGGCAACTCATCTTCTTCCAGGGTAGAGCCAGACATCTTGATAGCAGTCTGCAATACAGAGAACACACAAACTGAAAAACATGATCAGGTCCATACAGAGAGCAGGTGAGGACCATGTTACAAGTCCATCTCAACTCCAACTCCAAAAAATTCTTGTTTATTATAACCTAGCATATTTCCCAATAATGTGGCTGGTGGCTCTATGGGTCATGCTAACTTTTCACTCACCACCTCTCACACAAAACAACCTACATTAGAGCAACCTCCGACTGAAATTTAACACAGAAAGTAGCCACTTGGAACGGCCATTAGGTTTAGTGCAAAGTTAGCATGACCAATGTGACACAATAGCCACATTTATGGAAAATGCGCCAGGTGTAAATGAACCGGAACCTTTTATGCCTAACGATGGTTTATGATCAAAGTATTGCTCCTTTAGTAAATTGTGTGCTCAGATTGGGCTTGGCAATATACAGTTGTATGCAAATGTTTGGCCACCCCTTGACGAAAAAATGCATTTTGACCTTGTGAAAAGAATATGACACTGCAGAACTCTTAGGTTGCCCAAACTTTTGCACATGCCACAATGTTTTTATTTTTGTTCAATGTATTAAGTAAAACAGAACAATGCATGAATGTTTCCTGCAAATATTGTGTTTTATGTTCCATACCTTCAAGAGGCTGTTTAAATCTTTCCAATTAAAAAATCACCAAAATGTGTTACTTGTCCAGGGATGGCCAAACTTCCACATACAACTGTAGCTGAAAAATGTATCATGGTAACATATGTAATTTCATTTGATATCGATAATTATTGAGAATTATTAATAACCTTATTTTTAACCTGATATTTTTTATAAAGAGCAGGTGGAAAAAGGTTGAATTTAATCACTTTATTTATCAAGGCACACAACTAATAATTTTAATGCTTTTAATGTGTTGCTTGTCATTGTTGCTGAGTACCTCTCCATCGTAGATAGCTTGTGGATTGTTCCTTCAGATTAACAGATGTAGGTTGTGATTGATGACATGCTGCGTACTCCAAAGAGTGGAAGAAGCTATGTTGATTCACTCTCGCATGCTCTATTATCAAGGGATATGACAGGCTTTATATAAGCTAGGGTGTATTTGTTATTTGCTTTTATGGTGGTTGGCATTTAATGCATTTAACAATTGATCATTTTATTGAACAATTTTCTTATTGTTACAGATGAAATGTCTATTGCTGATACATCGCTCAGGCCTAGCTAATGTGTGGGACATTGTTTTTACTTTATCTTCTCCTCTCAACTGTGTGATACATTTATCATTTATGTTTAACTTGGAGTAAGTGTACAAAATAAATCTGAGCTGGACTGAGAATAAATATTGTTCACCTCTGATGTGTTAGATGTTGATATAATAATAATGTTGACAAGAATATAGCCAGGCATGCACTTGCTTAAACACTGTTTTTGGGGTGAAAAAAGCTGTCTTACTGTGGACAAAAAGGCTAAAATAGTGAGCAAAAGATGATTTCCAATTTAGCTATTTTATTATGAACATAGGTCTAACAGGGCTGTATCAGTACTAACAACTGATACATCCAAACCCAATTTTCTGCTACATTTGGTGTGCATGGGTCCATGGAGGTTGACACAAAGTTGTCACAACCACTTACTGTTGCCAGGCTGACTGTTTACTTATCAGATTATGCTGGGATTACCAGGTGTCTGACATGTACACATTCTTAGGACATCTTATCTTGTATGTGCGTGTGTGTGATATAACATAATTTGCTAGCTAAGCCTGTCATTCTTTTTACCATTTTAGAACCTAAGTTTTATGCTATTGTGATCCTGAAAATGTGACATTAAATTCTGATGACAGACTCTATTCTTCTCAAAAAGACAAAAGGAGAAAATGTTACTTTATTATTTTACAATTATTGGAATGCTAGCATAATTACTGATAAATAGATTATACAGTTCTTTAATGTAATTCTGAAATGTCAAATAATATTTGGGTTCCTTGCACACATTGATGGCTCTAAACATTAAGGAATACACCCATGAAGAAACCACTTCTATCCTAGATACATCAGTAAAGGCCACATTGAAAGCTATTATGCTGATACAGCTGAGCTGTTGATGACAACAGGGTCCTAATCAACACTACGTCAGTCATTAACTGATAATGCCTGAGGCAGCTAATTCCCTCATGTTATCAAAGCAACACATTTCTTGCATGGTTGGTTTTAATGAACTCAAATGCAAGTCTATGCAAGTGGACTGGACTTGAAGTGCAATGGCTTTAAACATGGCAAAATATGTCTTTGAAATATAATATATGAATAACTGATTTGACTAAAGCAGCGTATATAAGTATAAGTGTATGTAAGTGTAAGCATATATATCATTGTGTGCTGCTTAGGTCAACAATGTAGTACTGCTACAATAAATATACAGTGAAACAATCTGAAGGAATTTGCTGCAAACAAAGTGACCACAACTGCTAAACAGTGACATATATAAAATAAACATTTTATAACATTTCGTGTGGAGAAACTATACCTGTGTAAACAGCAACAGAGACACAGATGGGAGTACTAGACATACTGTACAATCACTTGCATGGTATCTAACTAAAACGGCCAGAAATTCTTACCTTTACTTCTTAAGTGAGAACTGTTGTCCGTCAGTTTCTTACAGCTTGTTTTTTTCCAACCTTTGTCTGTTGTATTTATTTGTTATCCTCTTTCAATCTAGGCAGTCACCGAGGAGTGTGTCCACATAGGGAGAACAGACAAGAGAGAGAAGACAAGTTTAGAAAAGGGTGGGGAGAGAGATAAGAGAATAATCTTTATCTCCATTGACATCTTCATCATCACTGTCACTCTAATATGATGATGTCTAATATGATTAGGTATAATACCAGGCTTAGTGTCATGGAGTAATGACAGTCAAGTAGACAGAAGAGTAATGTCTATTACAAATATTGACAGCTAAAATAAAAACAATATATAAAATATGCCCCAATACTTACGCAGTGTAGCTTTTGAGGTGTAACTGTTAAAAAGAAAATTAGTGAAATAATTTTTCAGCCACCAGGTTACAATTTGCGATATTACCTCCCATTTCTTCAGTCACCGTCCTCCCCTTTGTGTGCATTATAAATATGTGGATAGTTAACAGTGACACTGTTCCATTCTCACTTTTCTAGGTCTGGGTTTTGGCAGAAACAGGCCCAAAAATCATATTCCATGTAAGTCCTAGCCATCCACAGCTCCAACACCATCATCAACAAGTTTACTGACGACACGACAGTCATTGGCCCGATTACCAGTGATGATGAAACGGCCTACAGAATGGAGGTCAGAGCCCTGACATCTTGGTACCAGGACAACCTCCATCTCAACATCAGCGAAACAAAAGAGCTGTCTGTGGACTACAAGAAGTGACAGAGAGAAAGACACACCCACATCGCCATCAATAGAACTACGGTGGAGAGAGTTAGCGTGACAACAGCTCTGTAAAAAGGTCCAACAGGATCATAAATAGGGCTGAGGCGACTGATTCATTACGGAAATACAATTGATTAATTTGCATACACATGCTGGCACCCGGTTCCCCTAGAGAACAAGCTGAAGCTAAAAAGAATCACCTACAATCATCAAGCTAAGGTGAGGGAGGATAGAATGCTGCAAGGATGACATATTTTTTGACACAGGCTATAACCAAACATCACTGTGGTTGCATAACGTTTTTCACCACCAATAAACTTCCAACTTGTAATTAGGGTGGTGGTGGCATAGCGAAATGGCTCAACAGTGCCACCTATAGTGCAGCCCTTGCGGGACGTTTCACCAATATGCATGAAAATCGGTACACAAATGTAGCTGTTTCGTGTTTTACAGTAACACTTACATTGCATTTTTGGTGGGCTAAAACTCATGAAACTCGGCGCACATCACAAATAGCAAAATGTTACATCTGATATGGGTCTTGAGCATGGGTGTGGTAAAATGACTCCATAGCGACCCCTAAAAATTTAAACAAAGTAGCCCCAGCATCCCGTTCCACTGAGATGTATATAAAATGGTAGGCATATGTAGGGTCAAAGGAGATCTTTAAATATAAACTACCGGAGCAACGCAACGTTAACACTGAGTCGTTAATTCTGCAAAGCAAAGAGCAAAATGCCTTTCCTCTTGCAACCTGCACCAGCGGACATCGCACAGCAGAGACAGTTTGGACTTCAGAACCACAATTCTGATCAGCCTGGCTCACAGGACCGCCAGCTGA